AGTCTTCCAGAAATCGATAAGACTAGTTGCAGGGATTATGAAAAGTTCTCAACTCCTTAAACGACTAAAAACTTTCATAAATATTCAGTTCAAACAGCCTGTTCTCGTCCTCTGCTGGACATAGGGCTCTCCAATGGCACGCCACTGAGCTCGATCTTCAGATCTACGCATCCACCCACTACCAGCCACTTTGCGGATATCGTCACTCCACCTGGCTGGGCGCCCTACACTGCGTTTGACTAGACGCCGTCTCCACTTCAGAACACGTCTACCCCAAAATGTAATACAGTGATTACGGGGTAAATCTATTGCCATGCACCAGGCGCAATTTCAGACTCCATGTTATTACTGAAATGTCTCAAAACATCAAGGAAACTTTAATTCCTATACTTTGCTTTACCCAGGCATCAACTGCGAACACTTAACTGACGAGGCAGTCTTGAAGTCTATTCTATTTTAGAAGTCTAGACTAGTTTTTAACTAGTAGCTATGGGAAATTATCTATTTCCCACTCAAACTCAGACTTACTATTAACATTAGAAACAAGTTAATCACTCATTCATTAATAAACGAAAAACAATAAAAATATGGAAATCAAACTGATTTTATCCTGTTGAATTATCTGAAATATCATCCCCTAAATTTGTTCATACAGAAGTAGTCTCTAGACATTGGAAATAAGGTCTATATTGTAGTTAGTGGAGAGCGGTCACCGGTGACCGGTTGGGGATATATGGGTCTTGAAAATCATAACAAAATTAAAGTTGAATAAACTTTAGTCGACATGTATATTTTGTACCATATATCTACACAGATAAATAAAATTGGAGTGTCTGTTTGTAATATTAAAATAACCACTTTTTACTACATGTACCTATATGAATATACATACGATACCTACACATACCAAAATAATATTTTTTATAATTTTTGTTTGTCTGTCTGTTTGCACTGGCTAATCTCTGCAATGGCTGGACCGATTTTGTCAAGACTTTTACTAACAGGTAGCTAATGTACTAAAGAGTGGCATAGGCTACTTCTATTTTGGAAAATTTATACAAAAAAGGTTATGTCCTAAAATTCATATACGCGGACGAATTCGCGGGCTTCAGCTAGTTATTTATACAAATCTTAACGAATCCCGCTCTTGAATATCAATTAATGTTATTTTACACATTAAGGCAAATAAAAATACTTTCACACTGATTTATGGCGTAAAGTACTGCGCTAATACTGACTCCGCGGGTCATTGACCTCGTGGCCGCGGAAATAGTTTCATTTTGTACCTATGTATGTGCCTACTGTCTTTTTAGTTTAATGATTTTAACTCGTCGAGTACCGGTTTTGTAGACACAATTATAGAACAATAGGTTGCGGTCACCGGTGACCGCTTGGTGTTTGACAGTTTAATAGAGGTTTCTATATAAATCTGTGCTTGATAGGAAAATCGGTACCTTTTATTTTACATGCAATGGCAACTTGCAAACAGCTACCTATAAAGGGCCACCCGCCTAGGTAACCGGATATCTATTACAATAATTTTAGTACATAATATAATATAATAATTATTTGCATGTGAATTAAAAGAATATCATTTAGCCAGTTGCACAATTTTGAGTTCTATTTCAAAGAGAGTAAGTCTATTACCCAAAAAATCGATTTAATCTCATTTTACATGATGACCTAAAGGTTGACTGGTGGGAATTCCGTTCGCTTAATGTCCGCCATAATGTTTAAATAATAAAAAAATATTGAGAACTGCAAGATAGTCTTTATACATCAAGGATTTACACGAAAAAGAAAATATAGATTTTAAAAGTTATAAATAAGTAAATTGTGCTACACTACAAATCATTGGAGCTCAGTTGAGACCACAGATCTCACACACACAAACATATGTACTGTGTGTTATGCGTGTGTATGTCTGTAAGTATATATAGACAATAGTCTGCGGTAGAAGCGTGTTTGTAAAGTAGACTGTAATCGTTAGTCACTGACATCGAAACGCATAGATTAAATAAATCGCGTAGATGTGACACTTTTGTTTGAGTACCTACCTACTTCGACTGTTACAGTTTATTTCTAATTTGCAACTGCAACCAGCCTTCGATCGATGGGCACTGGAATCCTCTAGTTTTCGATCACCTCACTGATGCGGAAAACTGAGGCCTTAGTACGAGTTTGATTTATGTTTAAAGTATTCGAAACGAGTATGCGTTCGGCGCTCTGATTGGCCGGCACCAATGAACAAACCAATCAGAGTGCCGAACGCGTACTCGTTATGATTACTTTAAACGTAAAACAAACTCGTACTAAGGCCTCTGTAATATAATTTTTGTCTTGTTTGCATAGCTACAATTTTTATTGTACTCCAAGAGTTCCGATTTTATTAATTAAAAGTTAAACATTACTAATTTAAAAGAAAGTTTGAATAGTTTTTCACTGATCTCAATGGTCACTTTATTTTTCTTTCGTCTTGATAGGTATGGTCAGTGATCACTCACTTGATCACTTCACCATACTAGGTCGAAATGCAAATGAACCTCATTTGAATTTCAAATAACAAAATCAACAAACACTCGTTTAGTTAATTGTTATATTGCAATCAACGCTTTATCATAAAGGCAATGAATGTCATTTCTGCGCTCGCGTCATCTTTGATATCATCTCGAAAGCGTACCGAGCGTGTAGGCATTTACATAGATCGCGCCCACTCGGCTTCATCCACCGCGATTTTTACTCAGATACAAACAAGTATTACACGGCCGAGTTGTTAAGTTAATAGAATGAATGAGACAATGTACTGAGGCCGGGTGCTTCTTAACTTGCGACTCTTTCATTTCACCCGTTGGGACAGGTTTGGAGGCCGGAATGCGCGCCGTGCCGTACGCCAGAGGTTAATAAAGCGCGCACTTGCTCGCTACTTTATTGCTTTTTGTGGTCATAAATAAAAACGCTTTCGAGAAATAAACAATTTATGCATTATCGAGTCTGTCAATTTCGGTGCCTGGATCGTTGGATATTTATATGGAGTATCGAGAGCTCCTAATTAATTGAATATTCATACAAGAAATATTTAATCAGTACGTATGGACTTGACTGTGTCTTTATAAATAATGAGGCGAATATTGTGTCGTGTGAGATGCTACGTGCCTACGACACTGCTGGAAACATCAAAATTACAGAGTAACTTTATCCGGAATAATTTATGATTATAAATACAGTGGTTGAATATAAATGTGTACGAAATTGTAAAAGTTAATTGAATAGTAGCCGTCTTCCTGATAACGAGGATGCCTACGCATTTCGTAGCAGTCGTAGGCGCGCGCGTCACAGTGACGTCACGGCCCTACGAGCCGCTACGAGATCGCACCCACGCAGTGACGCGACACACCCTCCGATTTTAATCCACCTTCACATTTTAACACAAGTATTATTTATATTGCTAATATATTATTATGTATGCGTATCAGACTTTATGAAAGCTATTTTTATTTCGTAGCCTCCGCATAAAATTTTCTCTTTAGTTAGTGGGTGTTGGTCGAGACATTTTCAGTGCTATGTACTACATTCATGTATATTGTTGAGCGTGGGTTTTCAGAAGCAAGCAAAGAGCTGAGGATTTAGTATGAGTTTGTTATATATGTTAAAGCAGATCGGAACGAGATTTCAGTGTCTAGTGAATCGACCAATAAGAGCGGCGAACGCGCTCGATACTATTACGTTACGGATGTGATAGTAATTCGTGCCTAGCACTCTGATTGGTTGGTTTATTGGAGCTGGCCAATGACAGCGTCGAATGCGGTGTCAAACTCGTACTAAACCCTTTGGTAAACTGACCTTTCCTGTTCAGTAATATAGAATTAAGTTATTACGTTACACTTTACATTTGTACTGTAACTTTTTTACGTTTCTATTTTAACGTTTCTAAATAAATTATTATGTTTTCGGCTTACTCACGTAATAATTTGACGAGGAACTCGACTAGTTTCAAGCCATGCTGGAGGCTCATATTCATGAGCAGCATTTCGCGACCGCGCTACTGTAGTAGCAGCGCGACAGTCGCCGCGTCGCGACATGGCTTGAAACTAGTCGAGTTCCTCGTCAAATTATTACGTGAGTAAGCCGAAAACAGAATAACTTTACACATTGATTCCACACTCCATGTTACAATACAACTGAGGATATTTCAGAAAACTAAAAAAAAAAACACGCTCGTATTTCGTCAGTCATCCCTTTTCGCTAGTGAAGTTAGATAGGCGGAAGAATGTTTTCATAAATTGCGAATATTCGTAAATCGCAGCCCAGAAATCGAACTCCAGACTTGACTCAGTAGTCGCGCTGTGCAATCACTTGGCCAATGGGGAAGTCATTATTCTTTTACTTGATTAAAATTATATTTTCAGGTTTGGTTTATTTTATAGTAAGTTCTGTAGATGTTCTGTAGATAGTTTATATCTGAGTCAGCAGCTTCGCTCATGCAACACGTAACATAACGCCTTTTTTATCCTTAAAGGAATCAGTAGACCGACGTGGTGCGTATATCACGTACTTAACCAGGTAACACCTACTTTTCACTATTTTGTTATAAAATGAACACTATTGATATTAAATTTTTTTACTGCCAATAGAAAACTGTTGAAGGCAAATTCTCCGCTAACGTCGGTCACCGGTCACCCCCATGGCGTTTAACGTGTTAACGTATCTACCTACATAAAGCTAAACATCAAGCTACGGAGAACTAGCATAAACTGATTGTTAAATATGTGAAAGATTATAAATAATGGTAGACCATTAGAAATTGGTATGGTGTATCTTGATATGCAGCCATGTGTATTTTATATTTTCCCTTAAATATAAATCCTAAAATATAAAATACACATTTTTACAAATATCAAGTAGGCATTCAAACGTCTCCCCGCGCTCCTCAAACCGCGCGCCGCCGTCGTCGTCCGTCGTCCGCTCCCCGCGCACCACGAGCTCTCAGTCCCGCGCAAGACGCCACGAACGTAGCACGTATTTCAAGTTATAAAATAAAATGGATTCAAAAAACAAATGGAAACCAAAGGAACAACAACTAATCCAACTAGTAAAGGATTATAAAGTATGTGATATTGAGTACGATACTCCAATTTCCAAGAGAACAACCATAAAAAAGGTTATCTGGGGTAGGATATCGCGAGATTTAGGTAGAAGTGGTAAGTGTAAATATTTATAATTCTCTTTTTATAATAACTATCGTACAACATATTATACTTATTGAAAATAATGGTTCATTCACGTGAAATGAGTGTGAGAAGTGCTCTGCGGCTGCGCGAAGTCGTTTCGTCTGCGCACGCTGCTCATGAATAATAGTCCTGTTGGGACTTGAAACTAGTAGACAGTAGAGTTTTTTTAGTCAATTCTTGTGATCAAACCATTATTTTGAACATGTGATTATTTTACCAATTACAATTTTGTGTTATTTGAAATGCTATATTTATGTTTGAGAATTGCTTCCTGGTCGTTTAGCTTTCAATTTTAAAATATTGCTTTATCTATCGTTTTCTAAAATAGGTATTTCTTCGACTTACTTCAACAATCGGTGTTTTGCGTTCCAGTGTAACATTGAATGTTCTTTAGTACCTAGGCACGTGTCACTTGCATGCCTGCATCCACAATTTTGTCGTGGGCTAAACTTTACTTCTTCTATCTTTTGGCTGATATGATGTGGATATACGATTGTTATGTAAAATTGTTATAATTATGTTATATCAAACAAATATTGTTATTGTTTCAGAGGTAAGATGTCGCAGAATGTGGATAAATATAAGCATTATTTATAAAAGACTGGCGATAATGATCAATGAAGGAAAATTGTCTGTGTCAGAAACTCGCAAGAATCACAAGGTGGCAAAATATTTCGACGGATCTCTTGATTTTCTTGATACCTGGATTAATCACGCGACTCGACACGACGTCATAAAAGTAAAACTACATGCAAGGACTAAACTTACTCTCTCAAAATTACTTGGGTATGACATTGATATGGAAACAAATGATTCAATTAAAAATAAGATACGTAATGATGTAAAAGGCGTTGTAGACAAAGCAGATGCAGAAAGCATATCCAAAGAAGAGTGTCATAAAAATGTGGGATTGGCTAAATTTAAGGTGAAACACATTTTTAGTAAAAGAAAATTTAAATTGAAGACTTACTTGAATGATTTAGAAGTTGCTATTGTATGCAGTGTACAAGAGCCTAAAGAACGAAGATTATTGATGAAAGAAATCGACGCAATTGTAAATGATTTATTGCAAGGATGAATATTTTTAAAAGACTATAAAAAAGAAGAAGGTTTATAAATAGTTTTTTTTAAACGTAGTTTATTATTTGCGATGTTTATAGCTAACGTTGAATTCATCTTACTATTCAACCGACTGATTTATATTTTAATATTTGTACAAGACAAATAATAATAATTTGATTTTTAAACTACATAGGTAACTGTTCGGCGAGGTATCTCAACTAGTTTCAAGCCATACTATAATCCTATAACAATGAGCAGACAATCTTCCAATCGGGAGAGCCACATAGCTAATATCTCGAGGATCGAAATTGATTATCTCCTTGAACAATTAATTAAGTCATTTATACTTTAATTAAGGTATCCATATTTCATACTTTTTCATAATAATTATAACACATAAATGTTTTAATGTTTGTGTATTGTTGATTATTGCATAAATTTGTCTTATCTTTAAAAATGATTCAATGTTGACAAATTGGAAATTTTTGCATGTGATCTTAATTACTCGACCGCTTAATTAGTAAGCATGCATTCATACATTGTATCGGTAATTAGAGGTAAATAAATTTTTTTGAATCAAATAAAACTTGTTTTATATGTTATATTTCATAAATAACACTTTAGATCCATAACAGTAATTTATATGTCACACACAATTGATTCATCGATTCAGTCTATTTGTTGATGTCCTAAAACTAAACAAACAAACTGAAACTACTTAAAATTAATTAATAAAATAGGTATGTTTATTCACGTTATTGTATCGAGATAACTCGACTAATTTCATATCACACTAGGGGCTCATATTTACGAGGTAACTTGACTAGACACGACGCGTCGTGTCGTCTACTCAAGTTACCTCGCTCAACAGTTACGCGAGTAAGAAGTTAAACATAATTAATTAATTTTAATATACTTATTTAATTTATTTGTTATACTTATGTACTCAATAAAGTAATAATCAATACAAAAAATAAATAAAAAGTAAATTAGAGCTAACGAAAGTTATAATACAAAAAAATACTTAATCTTATTTCAATGTGCAGAAAACACGAGTGTGCGATGTCGAAATATGAGATGTTTGTTAGGAGGAGGCACAGAATGCGGCGCTCACAAGCACCGTGACGGATTGGTCGCCGTGTCTTTCAAATCGCCGTTTCAATTGTTGTGAACTGGTTGTGGCTTAATATTTGTGTTACCAAATTTCTCTGCCCACGAACGAGCCGTATGTACCGTAAGTGGTATGGTTCACCGAGATACAATCAAATGGACTTATGCTTACTACAATGAACTTTCTAAATCACAATTTTTTACGTTCAATACTATATTTTTGTGTAATAAGATGAACCATATTTTTAATTCACTATTTTTCAATGTTCTGGCGCGTAAACTATAATGAATTATATCCCAAGTCGTTGACTCGTTATAAAAACGTCAGAGGTTGTCCAATCTCCCCTAAAATGTGTGTGGCATAAGATAAGGCTGCACTAGATTGGTAAATATTTCCCTTGATAAATGTTTTACTTACCTGTCGCGACCGCAGCGCGCGTTTCAATAATAACCGTGATATTGCGATGATACGGACTGGAAAAACTCGTTCGGCGGATGTCGATATCCTTAGCGCGCTCAAATCGACCACTGGCACAAACATCCACCAGCTTTTTATTTCATACATGGCCGGTTTAGTCCACACAGCGTGTGTGTACACCTGAGTGTATCAAGCAGTGTATAGTTGACAAGTTGAAAAACTCTGTGTTTATTTGGTGCGAGTACCCTGGGACGATCATAGTGTGCTGTCAGTGAGCGGCTTTCATTCATGCCGCCTCGGGCCACGTTCCACGAGATCTCATCTCCCAATTACCAACTTTGCTCGAGTGTTCTGTTCCATGATTTTTGTCATTTTTTCGCCGTTGAATTTTTGCCAATTCGAAATATTGATTTATTTATTGTTTTGACTAATTTTCTAAACTGTTCGATATTTGATCCTTTAAATAAATGCTGCTGATGAACGATGATGTACGAAGCATCGTTGATATTTGTGTTCAGGAGCTAAATGAACAAAGGAACACTGGTGGTTGTCATGCAACTTTTATTTTGATGTTCGCTTCCATCATAAAATCTTGACTCTTAATGTATATACAGAAGGTTGTTCATTGGAGAATAGTTATTGAAGGCTCGTTTCAACACAGGTGAACATTTTCGAGGGCCAGTTGATTTGATGGAGCATTGTGCCGGTGTATTACACAAACAGTACTGAGCGCAATCGCTCAGCGTTTCACAATCGCGGGTTCGCCGACCGACACCAATACCTAAATTAATTTTCTTTTCGGTCCCGCGTCGCCGTCGCTCATTGTTCAATTTGTACCTCCGATTTTGGAGCACCAATGTACTATTAGGTGACACGGAATCCATCTAGAAAGTCATCTCCAAAACTGCCTACGTCAAAACTACTGTTCAGTATCAGTAAAGCAAACAAGTAAATCACACAGCGATCTACATAGTAAAAATTAAACTGACTGTCAATTTGAACACCAAAGAGTTTTGTCTCACATTTTTTGTTTATGATAGCACAAACCAGTTCGGGTTGCTCAAACACGAGCATGACATTTTATAACTGTAACAAGGTCATTTACCGTTCATATTGGGGAATAACTATATTATAACGTAGACCTCAGTATTGTACACGGTCGAAACGAGATTCTCTGATGGATTCGAATGTCACAGTGAAGGTCCGTGTGTATTTTTGTATCCGCTTTGAATGCACACGATATTAAAACATTGAGAAACATACGTTCATTTGAATGGCGATTAGTTTAACAACCTCGAACTTCAAAATTCGTAAACAAGTCGCTATTTTTTGTATGGATCCGATTTGACAACATTAAAATGTAGATCTAGGGATTGAAGCTATATTTACCACTCGGTGATTGGACATCAGAGCTGGCATAGTTGAGATTCCCGTGTGATTGGCGGAATTATGGTGCTTTCCCAGCGATTTGTCGGTTGCGTCGGCTGCAAGGAGCGCGGCCTACGTGATCTGCGCTTGCGACATTTTGACAATCCGACTTTACGTAACGGTGCCGCAACTGTCGCGTTACTTCTTTATTGCAATGTTTGGGCTCTGATTGGTTCCGGGGTAATGTGTAACTTACGTACGTAAATAGAACTTAGGTATCATTTCTAATTAAGCTGTCCGTTAATTTTATTGATTTTGAACATATATAAAATACAAAACAATATGCTAATTAGTATAGTAACATCATAGTTACCAAAGCAGAGCCAGTCAAAGTCTATTTTCTATAACTAATAAGTATTAAATATGCACGTGTAATTTAACCTGTTTTATGATCTGCCGATGTAAGGTACTTTGTTTATTGTTTCTGGTTATTACCTAACCAGCGCTATTACTTATTGAAACAAAACTTGTTCATAATGCATGTGAACATTAGTTATTATTTCTTAGTTAATGCAATGTTCGTGTTCCCGAGTTGGTACTTGTGTCACTTGTGTGATAGTGCGGTGCCCATGCGCCTGCGCGGTCCGCTCGCATCAAAACAAACGGAGAAAGTCACGCTATATTATTTATACGCGCGCTTCGCACTATTTCCTACTTCCCCATGAAGCAAATAATTGTAATAGAGAATAGAAAATTAACAATAGATGCTCAAACTGCACCGTGTTACACGCAGCGAATGAAATTATCTACTATGCTACTTACTCTATGTTTTACTGTATTATTTGAATGTTGTTCTAAAAACATTATCTATGTATCACATAACAACATAACATCACGCCTTTTATCCCCAAAGGGGTAGGCAGAGGTGACATTACAGCACTTAATGCCACTGTAAGTACCTACAATGTAACACCTACTTTTTACTATCTATGTTATGAGTCCCTTGTAATAGGGGGTGAGCCTATTTCCATATACCGGGCACAATTCCAGATTCTGTGCTACTAATGAGCATTTTTATTTAAAAACCCAGTAATCTTTGCCCGACCCGTGAATCGAACCCGAGACCCCTTGCCCGGCAGTCGCACATGCGACCACTCCGCCAACGAGGCAGTCGAAGTAGTTTATAATAGAAACTTAAATAGGACATGTATATATCCATAAGGATCTATCAAGATTAGTCTAGTATTTAATTAGAGAAAGTACCCACTAACATTTCTAAATAATTTGATTAATAACCGACAGAAATTGTATGGTATCGTATGGTGTTTATGTAAAAAAATACTAAAATAGTTGAACCAACAGATACACAGATGGGATTATTGTTTAGTTACATTGTGTAATATTGGCGGCCATGATTAGATTACCTTCCATTGACTCGTTTCATAAAACGATTGTTGCTTTCATTTCACTGGTCGGTGCAATCATACCTCTATTGTAGTGTCGGGTAAAGCATAATTTTAACATAACACCGCGTTATGGCATAGACAGGAGTGTGTGTAATTTTCTACTGTTATAGTACCTACTATATAGATATTTGTATTTTAAATCAAAACAATCACTAATCCAAATTAGCCTTAATCGTTTTAATCAGTCAAAGACTGAAGGATTTACGATTTTACCAGATTACTAATGACAAATCTACAAATTAATTACTAATGTTGTAATGTTAATAATGTTCGACGTAAACATTAATTCGTTCATAAGCAGATAGTTATCTCGAAATTCTAAATAAGCAGTTTGCGACCACTTCTGTCCAGCACAAATTTTACTAATATGCAGTTGTAAATGTTACAAATTCATGTATAAGATTCAAGGAGACTTAGGTTACAGTTATTTACGATTTGTTTGGCCTCAAAGCTTCCTCGAAAAGCGCTAATTATTTTAATGTATTAGTATTTTTGGTTTTTGTAAACAAAACAAGATACTGTTCATACAAATAGATCTGTATATATTAGTTTTTCCGTAACTTGATTTGCCTTAAATCTTCTTTACAAAGATATGGTGACACTTCAGGTGATCGAAAGACTGGCTACTATCTTGGCCAAAGGTTAAAGCATTGCCATTCAACGTGGCAATACTGCCAGCCTTTTGGGCACCATACCTTAAGACAATGATGATACTAAATGGTTTAATGCGTTAAATTAGTTTTTCTTTTCCTCTATCTTACTTTTCGTTGTATCTTATGTTAATTTGAGTTTTAAATACTTTAGTTTTTAGTTATCTTAGCCCTAGTTATTTTTTATTTCGTTTATATGCTATATAAAGATTAGTTTTAATACATTCGTAATGTATTATTTACCAATTTACCAATAAACTGTGTTGTAAATTTCATTATCTTTTAGTTCGAGTAGTATCTTTGGGTTACTGGTGCGTTACAGTTTAAGTACAGCTTACATTAAGAAGCATAAATGAGTTAAGTTTTGCATTTAGAGTTGGACTATATATCTCCTCTGTTAATAAACATGGAGAACCCTAGTTACTACAAGTTAGTGCTGTTAATAACCGCGCAATAGTCTCGATATAAGCGCACAAAATAGATAATACTGTCTTTATCGGGTATACGCCCGCTCCAATCCACAGCATAATGGTAGGGGC